AATTCTGTTCTGCACCAGGCGCCTTCCCCGTCAGAGAGCATAAGTCCAGGGAGCATTGACCAGGAGGGGACATAAGGGGCCCTCTGGGTCACTACAGGGGTCAGCTATTTTGATCTCTTACATGTACAGAGACACATGCATAATTTAATTGCATGGCACACTTAAGATTTGGGCTGACAGAAAGTGCCCGGATAAGGTTCAAGGGGGACAACGCCTGACCGGCAGTGGTAGATTTTCAGTCTGAGACCATCTGACTCACATTTTTAAAAGTGTAATTTAGTAAAATACACATAACGAAATTTACCATTGAGAAACTGATGTGACTCCATTTTTGAGAAACCAGCCTCTACCTCAGAGGGCGTGACCCTTGTCTTTGGAAAAACCCACAGAGCACTCCTAGGCACATATCCACCCTGCTGAGTTGTTTATCTACAAATAATAGGAGAGTACTGCTGCACCAGGTGTCCCTAACTCAATCAGGCTAGGTGAGGACCCATAGCAATCCCTTAGCAGCCACCAATCAGCATGAGACAAGGAAAATACCTGGGATGCCAGATGACCCCTCAGTAGTATATGGTGGTTGATAACATGTTGGGAAGCCATGTAGTTCAGCACGTACTCCCTTGTGCCTTAAACCAATCAGTTCAAACGAATCCCCCTCTTGTACTAACCAATCACCCTTACCCAACTTTTTCCCACCAGTGACTGTGCTAATCAATGTTAAGAGTTGTTTTATGGTTTTCCCTCGGGGTGTGATGACTTGCTAAGAGATGCTATGATGTATGTGAAGTCCCTGCCTTCCCCAAAGAGTGTATAAAACTGCTGCAAACCCTGGGCTCGGGGCTTCTCAGCGTCACCAGTTGCTGTGTGCGTGGAGGACCGAGCTAGCTCGCAATAAATGCCTCTTTGCTGCTTACATGGATCTTGGTCTCTGGTGGTATTTTGGGGATCCCGAACTCGAGCATAACACCCCATCTTGATTTTTTTTTTTTTTAATTTGGTACTGGGTTTTGACCTGAGTCACATCCCCAGCCCTTTTTATTATTTATTTAAAGACAGCATCTCACTTAATTGCTGAAGGCCCTCCCTAAATTGCTGAGGCAGGCCTTGAAATTGGGATCAGCCTGCCTCAGCCTCCCAAGTTGCTGGCAGTTTTTTCCTAGGAACCGTCCTACTGTCTTCCACAGAAGCTGTACCCTCTTACATTCCCACCCTCAGTTCAGGAGCTTCCTGTTTCTCCACACCCTCACCAATAGTTCTGTTTGTTGTTTTCTGTTTGTTTAAGTTGTAGCCATCCTAGTAGGTGTGAGACGTCAGATTTGCAGTTTGAAAAGACCTGTCAGTCCACAGTGCTGAGAAGCCAGGGCTGCAGGCAAAGACCTGGATGCAGGCTCTGAGAAGGAGCGTCCCTGAGGGCTGCCTCTCACCAAGCTCAGAGCTTCCCAGGAGTGCACTGTGGCTCAGCAGTCTGGGGAGCTGCCTGGGTCAGAATCCTCTGGCCTGGCACAGTGCCTGGAAGGCATCTCCCTGATGCCTTGAATAGTCTAAGAACCCGCTGGGGTGTGGGTTTGACAGTGGACCCTCTCCGGGCTGCCTGGAGCAGCGCCCTGGGGCCCTCCTTGGGGACCGGACTCACCAGTGAGGTCAGTTACTGTGACTCACCTGCAAAGCACAAGGTTTGGCAAAGGTATTTGTTTTCTGGGCCTCTCTTAGGCTTTGGGAGATTTTTTTTTTTCTTCTAATGGTGAAGCCGGGGGACGAGGCCATCAGTGTAGGTCATAAATGATTGACTCAGAAAGATGGGGGGCTGGTTCAGGGGGGAAAATGAAACGCTAATACTTTCAGGACTCGTCCCCCTTCTCCAGGGAATTGTTCCTCCTCACCAGGGGCTGTTAATGAATGAAGGCCTCCTGGGCCCTAGGATCTCTTTCCTGCCCAGGATCACTCCACCTTTGGCCCACCTTTTGGCCTCTAATCACATATGCAAGATGGGGGGAAGACAGAGCAACGAGAACAAAGAAAATCTAAGAGGGGCAGGACACCCCCACTTCCTCGGACACCCAGCTCCCTGTGTTTCTCAGGTGTTCAGTCTTCACTTCTGAGAAATGGGTGATTCTCATCACCAGCATCAACAGACTTTTCTTGAGATATCGTTTACCAGGTTTGCTGAGGTTTTAAGAATGGAAATGCCTGTGGGGCCACCACCCAGATAAGGTCTGGAATGTAGGCAGCCATCAGAGGGCTCATCTGTGCCCCTCCTGGGGGGTTGTTCCCCTCCACCTACTTTTTGTAGCTTGAGGGTTATTCCATTGGACAGACACCACCATCATCTCTCCTTTCTCCTGTTGGGGACCATTTGGCTTGTATCCAGTTTGGCGCTGAGATGGGTGAAGTCGTTGTGAACCGTCACCAGTCACGTAGGTCCTCCATTCTCTTAGGTATATATTTAGGAGTAGAACAGCTGAGACGTAGAAGTAGACGTTTGTGTCACACCCAGGCAGTTCTCCTGAGCTGAATTATTTCACTCTCCAAGTGAGAGTCCCAGTTGTTGTTCCAAATCGTGACCAGTTGGCAATTGCCTAAAAGTGACAAGATCCTAGTGCGTTCTTTTTTCCCTTCCTTTCTGCTCCCACTGGCCTGTCTCCTTAAATTCAGTCAAATTCTGATCCATCCATGCCCTCAGTCTTTGGGACCATCCCTCTCCTAGAAGTCAGTGCAAACTCTGGTGCATCTCAATAGAACTCAAGAAGGAAAAGAGGTGCAAACATACGTGTGGCCTGAGGCCCCTTCTGCCACTCAGTGCCTGTGGGACCCGGGTCTTGGTCTCCTTCATGGCACTATAACAGAACACATAAACCAGGTGATTCATAAACAGTGGAGGCTATTTATTTCTCTGAGCTCTGGAGACTGGGGAGTACAAGGCGCTGGCATTGGGTGAGGGCCTTTTGCTATATGATCTCTCAAAAGAAGGTGGAAGGTGGGAGGATGGGAGATGGCAAGAGTGGGGACAAGGGATGGAGTTGGGGCCACAGCTCTTCATAATCCACATTAATTCATTTACGAGGGTGCCCCCCTCCTCATCCGACACCTCCCATTGGGTGCTTCTCAACGCTGGTGCATTGGAGATGGTTTCCAGCGGGTGCTTTAACTGCTCATCCCAAGTTTCCTTCTGGATTCTTCTCACTGGCGTGTGGCGGGGACCTGAGGGACTTCAGGTAAGTTTATGGAGATGGCTCCCCTCCCCCACTGCCTCTCCTGTGTTCTGTTCTATTGCCCTTACCTGGTTGCTAACGCCAATTAAAGGCCATTTGTTTCAAATGTCCCCCTCCACCCCCTTCCGCATCGCTTGGAAGGTTCTTTGGTGCACAGGACTGACTTCTCTCCTCTTTCCAAAACCCAGGAAAAATTAGAGAAAAGATAGGAAGAAAAGAAGAAAGACCAGTTCATAGAGGAGACTGGAAGCTCTTGGGATTCTAGAATAAAAATGTCCATCATGGTATTTTTCTTGCAAAACTCTTCTTCCTGCATAATTATGTTTTTACCGAAGGAATCAAATTTAAAGAGATACTTTTTGGAAAGCCTAAGAATTCTCAAGTAGTTCAAGCTGTATGTCTTTGGGCCTATCCTGAGCCTCTCTGAGCCCCAGCTGGTCTGTGTGTGTGGAGGGTTGAAACAGACCTTCCCATCACTACCCCTGTGCAGCCCTGGACACTGAAACGGATCTTGCTTGGAAAGATGGCCACGTGCTTCCGGACAATGTCAAGGAGAAACTCCCCACCATGTCACTTGGAATCTATGAACCAAATGGGCTTGGGCTCTGGTGGCTCCTGGAGGAGAGAGGAGGGAAAGGTCATAGGGCTGGGAGCTCCCCTTCCCTCCCCAAGTCCCGAATAAAGGGGACGGACCACGTGTGAGCCGTGGGAACAGGAGACTAAGGGAATAATTCTCTAAACTGGGCCTGCTGTGCTGCCCCCGCGTGCTTTCTCTTTTCAAAAGCCATTTTCCTGCCGCCCTGGCTGGAAAATAAGCCACAGAGCTCCTTACATTCTTCAGCAAACAGCCTGCAGGACTAGCAGGCCCCGAACGCAGATATGAGGAGCACCAGTTTCCCCGAAGCAGAGACTTTAGTGACCCTTACACAGACCAGATCCCAGAACTCAGGGAGATAAGGATGATTCCCCCTAACCATAAAATCTGTAAAAACAGGTTCCAATGAGAACAGTCAGCAGGGGCCAAAGTGACCTGCAGTTGTCAGGCACCGTGGGGACTCAGAGGTCTGAGGTCATCCTGCTGTCAGTCAAAAGTCTGTTATACAAAATTACATATAAGAGGAAGTGAGGGGAAAGGGGGAAAAAAACAAGAGAGAGAAATGAATTACAGTAGATGGGGTAGAGAGAGAAGATGGGAGGGGAGGGGAGGGGAGGGGAGGGGGGATAGTAGAGGATAGGAAGGGCAGCAGAATACAACAGACACTAGTATGGCAGTATGTAAAAACGTGGATGTGTAATCCATGTGATTCTGCAATCTGTATACAGGGTAAAAATGGGAGTTCATAATCCGCTTGAATCAAATGTATGAAATGATATGTCAAGAGCTTTGTAATGTTTTGAACAACTAATAATAAAAAAAATAAAAGTCAAGAGGTGGACCTGGGTGGGATTCTCTGAAAATGTCCCCAGGATCCCCAGGAAAACTGAACAGCAGGAGGGGCATGCTGTCCCTCTCCTCTCTGAGAGGACCCAACCTCTCCCTTGAGAGTGTCCCCTTTCTCCCTTTCCTATCCCTTCTAGTAAACTCGTGCCTGTTACTCTGAGTGATATCTCTGATATCTTTCTGGAATGATTCCAAGAATCAGGTTTTGAAGGGGGGGGGGGTCTCTGTGCTTCCTCAGTTGTCAGAAGGCCCCAGCCCTGTCACACCACCCCAGACTCCCGCCCCCTCCCCTACCTTCCTTCCGCAGACTGGCTCCCTCTGGCTCCGCCCTGTTGAAGAACTGCCAAATTGCTTTAGTTTCTATTTCCTTGTAACGTCCTGCCTGAGCAGAGGACAGCCCAGCCGCTGTGAAAGGCAGCAGTGGCCACCAAGGTGGTGGAGAAATGGCTTTCTGTGGCGTCCAGTCTCCCTACCTCAGCCCGGTGAGTATTGGGGACTGTCACAGGGCTGTCCCCAGCTGGGCTGGCTGCCATAGCCTGGGAAACGGCTATGGGTGGTGAATGGGTCAGTGGGGGAGAGGGGCAGAAATGCCAGGCGGGGGCATCCCAGTAGAGCTCCTGTTCCATGCCAGTCTCATCTGTGCCTCTTGGGACCAGCAGGTGACAATCACCATGGTCCATGCATTTGACAGACAGACACTCTGAGCTCCCGCTGGGTGCCTGCTCCATCTGAGGTGCTTGAGCTAGACAGGCCTAGTAGCTTCTAGAAGGGTGATGGTTTGGGGAATGGGGACACCATCAGGCTTCTGGGAGAGTAGCCACCCTCACATGCAGTAGTTAAAGCACTGACTCTGGAGAGGGCCTGTCCAGATGGGTTGCTCACTAGCTGAGTGATCTCAGGCAAGGTCCTTTCAACTCTCTGGGCCTCAGTTTCTCCATCTGTGAAGTGGGAATCACCCTCCAGCCCCCATCCTAAGGCTGGGTAAGCACTGAGTGAGGGAGCATATTTGAGCACTTCCTGGCACACAGTAGGTGCTTTAGGAGTGTTTCATGTTATTAGGAGTCAGGGGGCATTGAGGGGGTCTGTGTTCTGAGGACTGAGTCGGAGGTCACAAGGTAAGGGCATGTCCAGGATGTCTGCAGAGGGCAGCCCTGGAGGTGAGGGAGAGTGGGGACTGTCCATGTGGACGACAAGGGGCTGCCTCCCAACCTTTCCTCTGTCTGTGGGGAGCCTTGTTTGAACCCTGTAAGGCTATTATCCCCACTTTACATGTGGAAAAACTGAGGCTCCAAGAGGTTGAGGCACTTGCTAAATGTCTCCAGATGCAAAGTGGCAGAGAAAGCAGCGGCTTGGTTTGCTCTCAGAGGAGGGAGAGACCAATGCTGGGAAAGCAGGAGCGCCTATGATCTGAGCCAGTGGAGGGATTTGTCCTGATGCAAATAAACCCTAGGTGTCAGGGTTGAGGGGGTTGAACAGGTGCCAGGGGTAGCCTGGTGGCCTGGGCCTCACACTTGACCCTGCCGCAGCAGAGGCCTGAAGCCTGGCCTGAACTCCCCGTCAGTTGCCAATGTTGCCATCACCCCTCAACCATCCTGTGGGGCTCCTGGGGTGGGGCGTGTGTGGAGGGGTTAAACAGCACCTCTGTGGGGGGAGGGCTGCGGGGTCACAACGGTCCCCACAGCATCTTACTCTGATTCCCCATCAGACTGGAAATGACATAAGTGCTGACATTTTATGATTCTGATTTTGAGATTTTTCTGTGGATGTAGAAGCTAAACTTTCTGGTTTTCTATCAAATGAGAAAGAAAATCCTCCTGCAGGCAAGGGAGCGTTCAAACAGGACTTGGGCTGCGCACGTCCAGACAAGAAAGAGGATGTGTGCACTCCCCACTCACGTGGTGGCCGCTGACCTCTGGTAGTCTGAGCCACATTTCCTCCAAACGCTGACTCTCGAAGTCAGCTGTACAGCTTTGGGCAAGTTACTGAAACTTTCTGTGCCTCAGTTTCCTCATCCTTAAAAGTGGCATTAACAAGGGGACAACACAGGCCTGAAAGGCCAAGCTACCAGCAGGACCCGAGAGCTTCTGAGGTCTCAGGGCCCTGGGCTAAAGTCACATACTGCCTCCTGCTGCTGGATAGCCTCAGGCAGGTGTAGTAGTAGCCGTACCGCTGGTGCCAGGATGGGGTGCCCTCTGGTGACGCTGGGCCGGCCAGCGGCAGGAGGCTGTCCACACTTTGGTCTCTCAGGTCCAGCCCTGCTTTCTGGACCTCCAGGCAGAGGAGGGAAAAATCTCAGCCTCCAGGTACAAGCAGGAGCTCAGAGCAAGATCTGAGCCAGTGGAGGGATTTGTCCTGATGCAAACAGCTGCATTACCAAGGCTGAGCCCGAGACGGAGACTTTCCTCATGGCATTGCATGCCACCCTCTCCCGAACACTGCCAGGCTACATTATTAGCACTGTATTATAGTCTGAGGGGGGACTGGGGGCCCAGACAGAGTGACTTGCTTAATATTACAACTTCTGGCACAGGGAGCTGGGGAAGGAGCCAAGGCCAGAGGCCATAAACCCAGTGCAAGATGCCATCCTCCTTTCTGCAGGATCAAAAGTGGGTCCTGCTTAGAGCTCTCCCTCACATACAGGTCTAAATTCCATAGGAGCCTCACCTGGCGAGGCCTCACAGCATCTGTTCTCTGACAGCCTGCATGCTGTGGCTTGCTCACGGCTCCTGCTTCCATCTGTAAAGCCTGCAGTTTTGGAGCCGGAGGGATAGGGTTCAGTGGTAGAATGCCTGCTTAACATGTGCAAGGCTCTGGGTTCACTCCCCAGCACCACAAAAAATAAAAATTCAATTACATCAAATAAGCCATAATCCCCGTGATTTGGGAGGCTAAGGCAGGAGGATCTCAAGTTTGAGGCCAGACTCTGCAACTTAGGGACACTCTGTCCAGATTACTTTCCCCATCTTAAGATCCTTAACTTAATCACATCTGCAGAGTTCCTTTTGCCACTTCAGGTAACATAATCACGGGTTCCAGGAACTATGGACTTTTCCAAAGGTGGAGAGGCGAGAGGTCATTCTGCCCTCAGTATCTTCCTCAGTACTCGATATCTGGCAGTCCACCAGCGTTATCAGGTCCTCCTGAATTCTTTTTTTTTTTTTTTAATTTTTTATTGTGGGTTGTTCAAAACATTACAAATTTCTTGACATATCATATTCCACACTTTGATTCAAGTGGGTCCTCCTGAATTCTTTTAGAGATACTTTATCTGTAATAAGTCTACACATGCACACAGTTCCCCCACCCACTTTTTACACAAGTGGCGTCATTGTGTATCAGTGTTGAGACTTCCCTCCCTTTTCTCTCTAAGGCCACATTGAATCTATCATTTGGAAACAGTATCATTCACTTCACCTCTTTTTCCCCTTGCGTTTTTAGGCTGTCTCCCATCCTTTGCTGTTATAATGAGGAAATGACGAACTTTGCTTGTAATTAGTGACACCCAGAACAATCTTATTTTTCAGAATTTGGGGACAACCATTTTAAACATTTTGAAATCTCAGAAAACTTTTTTTTAAGACACTGTTGCCTTAGAGATGAAGGTTCTCTGTCCTGCCCCATCACCTGTACCCTTCTTCCTCCTTCCAGAGTTTCTGTAAGATCTGAGCACTTCAGAGCCATCATACCTTGCTTTCTATTCCTTTTTCTTTTCTTTCCTTCCTAGTACTGGGAATTTAATCCAGGGCCTCACATGCTAGGAAAGTGCTCTAACACTGAGCTCTCTCTTTGGACACAGGGTTTCCCTAAGTTGCTGAGGCTGACCTCCAACTTGAGATCCTCCCACCTCAGCCTTCTGGGCCACTGGGATTATAGGCTTGCACCACCACACCTGATAGCTTTCTGTTCTTGTGCCTCAGTGTGAATAAACTTCTGTGAAGGGTGCAGGCTTCCCAGCTTTGGCGTGTTTAAAATGTTATCTCTTTTGATAGCATAAAAGGCTCTGATGAGAATGTCGGGCTTCAACAATCAGGGGAGAGATTTCCAATACTCTGAACTCAATGTCCTTCAAGACAGTTTATGCCACGCTGGTCCATAATTCTATCTGTCTGACTCTACTTCCCCCAGACCATGGACATGGGCAGGGGTGAACTCGGAGGCCAAGAGAAGCAGTAAATTTCTCAAGGTCACTAAAGGATTTAATGTGAGTTCAGACCCATCCTGAGTGGCAACAAGAGACACTTCCCTGAGAGGTCTACCGACAGCAGCTTCTGCCTGAGGTCCAGACCCTGCGGTGCCCCTGAGTGTGGATGGGCTTCTGTAGGTTCCACAGTGTCATATGCCTTCAGGACACAGGCGAGAAGTGGCCGTGGGCTGGACTTGGCAGTGGTGCTTTTGAAATCCCCAGAGAAAACAGGTCACAGAAAACCCCACCCTTGCCCAGCCCCAGGGCTGATGGACTTTGGCCCTGCCTCACCTCCCAACCTTGGCCCACTTCCCTTTCCACCCCTGGAGTCCACTGGAGCGGGTTCAGATACAGCACTGCATTGCGAATACTTCATCCTGTATCTCCACCATATAGGATCCGATGCACCCTTTTTGGAGAATATTTTTTCCCCAGAAATGAAAATGTTTACTCAAAAGATAATAATAAATCTAAATTTCTGGGTTACTCTTTAATTTGGAAACTTATAACACTGAGCCTGGGTGGAATTCATGGGTTAGAGCTGAGGGGATGCCGTCACATCTGCTGAGGGTGTGAGGTCCCCATGCCTCAGTCTCCACTGCTCCCTACTGGTCCTACCTGGCCATCTGGCTCGTGCACATCACTGCCCCTGCTCTGGGAAACACTGAATTCTTACAGGAAATTGACCTAAAGGAGGTGTAGAGAAGAGAGAAGGAAAACCACCCAGGACACAGAACTGTGCTCTAATGCGGGTGGACAACAGGCATCCAGAAGCGTGCTTGGAAAGTTGGGAAGTCACCAGTGTGGGGGTTGTGCCCAGAGAGAGCAAGGCAGGGAGAGGAGGAGGGTAGCAGAGAGTCACCTACTATACGCCATGTTCTCCACCGTCATCCACCAAGCTGCCTTAGCAAGGGCAGGGGTTATCTCTACGTCACTGAGGAGGACACTGTGCCAAAGAGCTCAGTAAGCTTCCCTCGGCCGCTTCTGCATTTGGAAGGCCATCCTTCTGGCGGATTCCTGGGTGGTCACTTCCTCTCAGACTGTCAAGGTTGGCTGCCCATCACGTCCCCTCAGACTCAGGTGGTCTCCTCTTTTTAGGGCTCAGAATGTCTGCAACCAACCGAGTCGCATCTGCTTCTGCACAGGACCCTAAGATCTGTGAGGTTGGGACCCCACCTGTCCCATTCACAGCCACATGCCCAGGCCTTAGCACTGTGCTCTCACACCCAGGCGAGTGCCCACCAACTGACATCCCATGTCTTCTCCCTGCAGATGGTCCCCTTTTCTGGGACAATCCATGGAGGTCTCCAGGAGGGACTCCAGATCACTATCCAGGGGACCGTTCTTCACTCCTTTGAAAACAGGTATACAGATGGTGCTGCTGTTGTCTCCAGCCTCTTCCCTTAGCAGCCACAGGGTGCTGAGCGTGAAGGGCTGGGCCCTGCCCATGCTTCCCAGCACGACTGAGCATGGGTATCGACTGCAGGGCTCCCTGTCCCCAGAGAACTCAGCAAGGAGGAAAGGGGCCCAGAGTTGCAAAAGCAGAACTCCCTCTGTCCCCTGCTGGCTCCATCTACTTTGGAGCCCTTCTTTGGCAGATGTGTGGACATATTCAAAAGTCATTTTGTCTCTTTGGTTTTCAAAGCATTTTCTGGAAAATACTAAGTCAGCCAAGATGCTGATCAGTGCTGTTTCCCACCCTCCTCAGTGAAGCGGGGGCTGTCTGCAAATAGGGAAGAGCTCACATGTCCTCTCAGGCTGGAGGGAGGGTCTCTGACCCCCATGCAGGCTTAGCTGACCTCTGCTGAGCAACACTGTCCGGGTGGCACTGAGGTGTGTGGTTTTACAGGTTTGGTTGGGATCTACACAGCTGCTGTCTGCCACTGTCCACAGTGCCTGGGCAAGCCCCTCGGGGCTCAGCTGTCTGTCTCAATCCCAGAGGCCCTGTCATCACCTTACATGGGGCACTAGGACCTCGTGGATCCTCTTCACACCCTCTGATACCTTGAATTGGCAATCTGAATTTGATTGACTTCCTCCACTACTGCCATCCCCCATAACTAGGGTGGACATGGCCACTGTGGACATGGGACATATCCAGGAGCCCTGGGAAATCCTGCAGGAGATTTACTCAAAGCCCTCCAATAGGGCAATCCAGGACCTACCCTGAATTCCCCCCCCCACACACACACATCAGCCTGACCCCCTCCCGCACCAGGAGGAACTCCTACTGCGCCACCCTGTCTACAAGACATTGTCCCTCCAGTTCTGTGACTCTCCCTTGGGAAATGTTGCTCTCGCCCTTCCCTGGAGCAGGAATTTTCAAAACACAGGAATGAAGCTGGAGGGCTGCCAAGGGAGAAATACATCCAGAGATATTTCAAAATCCGCATTCTCCATCCAAAGAGAAATGGCTTTAATTTTGTAACTCTGGTTCTTCCTTCTTCTTAGCACTGCTAGAGACAGGGCCAACAGGGATCTGGGCTTGTTTTCTGGGCCCTGCTGTCATAGAGTTCACAGAGCAACCTGGCTTGAAGGAGTACATCCCTGCTTAGCTGGCCAGAATGTGCCAGAATGTTCTAAAACATGCCCTTTTCCAACAGAAATTGAGTGGGCTCTACAGGAAGTTAGAAGGCTGCCTCTGGGGCATGGTGCAGTGCTGGGCCCCGTGAGGGACAGAGAGGAGGGAAAGCCAAGGCCCTGGCCTGAAGTCTGTGTGGGAGAACAGAGTGGCCAATGAAGCCGGCAGAAGCTGCGTTCATACAGAGCTCAGGGAAGGCTGGACTGCAGGGAAATGCCCCATCTTGAACTTGAGACTTGAACTTGGTTTCAGGGTCTAGATATAACAGAGAAAAGCAGAGAAGACATCTATCAAGCCCCCATTTTGGGAGCCAACTGCCCTGGAAGGTTCTTTGATTTGAAATGGCTCATGTCCCAGGGGAAAGTGTCCATGGTGAGGGGCTTCCTCCCCAAAGAGAGGGATGAACTTGCACTGGGGTCCTCCTGAACATGACCTCCCTCAGGATCTCGTCCTGAGTGTGGCAACCTGAGGGCAGTGTCAGGGGTCTGAGTCCAACCTCACTTGACTTCAGGGACACCAAGTCCACTCCAACACACACCAACATGCAGTGAGCACCAGACTTCACAAAACTCCGCACAGTGACATTTTTATGCTGGTGAGCTGGTATTTATCCCACACTTTCCCTTTTTGACATTGTCTTTGTAGGTACATGGCCACCGATTACAAATGATCTTCAAATTTGTTCTTTTCTTTCCCAGTTGGGCAGGTGGGGGCTGGCTTCCAACACTGACCCCTGCGAGCGTTCACTTGGCACTAAGTCACATGCTTCATGGTTACCATCTTTGACATCCATTTGTAATTAGTTCCCAAGACCCAGGCTTCTTGTGGCTAATGCTAGCTCTTTCCTTACCCATTTTTCTACTTACATATTTTTAGAAAATCACTCTGGAAGGGCAATATACAATAATTGCATGAAAACACATTAGGTCCAAATTAGATGAACAATAACAACAGGAAAAAGATGCCAACAAATTCATGTAAGCTGCACAGGTTCTATGCAAAGAAGCCCGTGGTGCCAGGCCCTTTCATTCTGATGTTGGCAATAACCATGCTACGGAAGACTCTTTGGTTTCCCTCTGCCTAGGTTTGCTGTGAACTTGCAGACTGGCTTCAGTGACCAAAACATTGCTCTCCACTTCAATCCTCGGTTTGAAGAGGGAGGGTATGTGGTTTGCAACACGAAGCAGAATGGACGCTGGGGGCCCGAGGAGAGAAAGATGCAAATGCCCTTCCAGAAGGGGAAGCCCTTTGAGCTCTGCTTCCAGGTGGAGAGCTCAGAGTTCAAGGTGAGCGGGAAGCCCTCTCCCTGTCCCTCCAGGCTGGGTGAACAGTCTTTAAATACATTGATTGAGATCAGGCCAGAGTGACACCACTACCCAGACCATGGGACTGTGGCTTTCTAGATCGTCACCCGTGGCTGCTAGTCTCCATGTGTGCAGTCACCTGCCCCTGCAGGTGCACCTGTTGCTTCTTTTACTGTGAACATAGGGACTAGATACATCACCGTGGTGTTTTTTGAGCTCTTACGTCTTTAAGTTCAAGATGATCCCATTCCCCTGCTGTAGCCATTCCTCCACTTCTGGAAACATCTCTTTTTTTGGGATGGGGGACCTTGTTCTAGACTTTATCCAGGTTCTAGTAGCCACGTGGCTTTGTAAGTCCCTGCAAATGACCTTTGCAGCCAGAGCAGTGTCTCTGGGCTTGGGGACCCAGTTGGGGTGAGACTGTCCTCTTCTGTGCTATGTTTCATGGGGTTCCCTGCTTAGTGTGTGACCTGAGATCACCTCCCCCCACTCTCCATGAGCATTTTTATGCATACCTAGATGCTGCCCCAGGTGAGCTGTTACCAGAAAAACGAAGATACAGTAATAAACAAAAAACTATAGGAACAAAAAGCCAATGGGAGCTTGGGGTTGGAGGCATTTGACTCACATGTTCCTGTCACTGGTGCAGCCCTGAGGGTCCCCAATGCTCCCTCTGAAGTGGGCTGGTTGTGAAAACCAGGCTCAGGCCTTTGATTCCAAGGCTCCAGGAGCTTGGGCATGCTCCCGCCCTGGCCCGGGACTCCTCTCCTGGAACACGGTCTCCTTTGCCAGGTGATGGTGAACAAGAACTTCTTTGTGCATTATGCACACCGCGTGCCCTTCCATCGCGTGGACACCATCTCTGTCACCGGCCCTTTGCAGCTGTCCTACATTGGCTTCCAGGTGAGACTGAACCCTAGGCCCCTGTCCCAGGGCTGGGGCCCAGGGCCCAGGCTGGCTGTGTCTAGACTCTGTGGCCCAAAGTTAACAGCCAATCTCCTCCCCAGGTGGCTTTGGGGACACACTGGTTGGGAACTAACCAATCTTTTTTTTTTTTTTACTTATGAAGAAAAGAGATTTATTTTATTTTATTTTTATTAGCTACACATGACATTACAATGATCTTGACAATTCATACATTTGAATCAATTGGGGTATAATTTCTCATTTTTCTGATTGTACAGGTTGCAGAATCACACTGGTACTAACCAATCTTGATGGTTGTCTTCCCCGCCTCCTCTGTCACTCTGCCATCCTTGTGTTGCTGTCTCTGTCTGAAGCACCTGCCTTGGTCTCCCAGACCCTTCGGCCTCTCCTCTGACTGTCGCTCTCTATTTCCACCTTGGTTCACAGACCAGGGGTTCCAGAAAGAGCCCAAACTTGGGAACCAGGCAGAATCCTGTTCAAATCCCCAGCTGTTGCCATTCTCACCATCTGTGGGGGGACCAACATCACCTCTCCCCTCCTTGAAAGGACATAGTTACGGCCACTGGGTTGGTGGTTCCTCATCTGTAGAATGGACATAATCATTGCCACTGGGTTGTGTGGTTCTGTGATGCTGTGTAAGTCAGGGTCCAACTCCACGGCCCACTTTGTTGTCGGTTTGACCCTCCCTGTTTTAAAATATCTAAAAGCTGAGGAGACATCATGTGAAAAATGGGAAGGTTGGGGTGTTCTGGACCCACAGTAGGTCCTCAATAATCACGAGCTCCTTTCCCTGAGAGCTTCATCCCTCACGTCCCCTCCCTCCTTGGCAGGGGAAAGACAGAGAGAAGGAGAGGGAGGGGGAGTGCCCACCTGCCATTACTCACCCAGCAGCCCCTTCCTCGCCCTCGACCCACCTGGTCCTGAGCTGGCTTCTGGGTCCTGTGTCTGCCTGGCCGCTGCTCCTGCCCGACCTCTTTCTTCTCTTCCTTGGCTCCATGGATGCTCCAAGTCAACCGGTGGTGCCTTTTGTTTTAACAGAGGTCTCCAGTCCAGCCGGCTTTTCCCACCATGCACTTCTCCCAGCCTGTCTGTTTCCCATCGAAACACAGGGGGCGCAGACCAAAAGTGAGTTAAAGATGGAGGCCGGGAGGCTGAGCAGACAGCAGGAAGGACAGAGGGCCCACAGGCCGCTCCAGCCTGTCACACCCGCTAGGGGATTCCCCGTCTGCTTCCACCAGGCACCCAGAGCTGGGGACCTGAGCAGTGTCCTGGGTCCCTATCCCCTCCTTGATGCTCAGATCACCTATGTCTCTCCCTCTCCAAAGCCTCTGCCATGGCCCAGAACATGGTGACTCCTCATTGTGACAGCCGTGGTCCAGCTCCTCACAACTCCACTGTGCAATCCCTTCCCATGAGCACACCCGTCCTGGTCTAAGCCTCAGCCCTTCTGAAGGAAGCCCCAGGTCCCCAGAGGAGCACAACAGAATGTCCCCAGATTCGCCTCCGCCCACCTTCCTGCCTTCCAGCCCGGCCCACTCATAAAAAGCATGCAGCCTCTGCTGTTCCCTTGAGGCCTCTCAGGCCACCATGCTTTTGTCCATGCTGTCCCCAGAGCTGAAGCCACCATGTGCCCATCTCACCCCTGGCAAGCCCCTCACCGCACAGTGATGCTCTGCTTAGATGTCACTCCTCCAGGGAGTTTTTCCCGTCAGGAAGGCTGCCAGACGCTCCCCTCTGTGTCCCCATGAACTTTGTCCATATCTGTGCCATGCAGTCACCATGTCCTATTATAACCATGCTTATGTGTCTGTCCCTGTCACTCTGCTGCCCCCCTCCCTGTGCCCACAAGCCCCTGGAGCACTGGCACTGTGGCACCATTATTTGGACACCGTCACCTTGCATAATGCCTGGCACAAAGCAGGGACCCAAGAAATGAATATGGGCTCTGGTTCCCACAGCCAAGTACAGGAGGAAGCAAGCCAGGGCCAGAGTGGCCTTCTGGGAGGGGCAGGATCTGGGACAGGAAGGCAGCCCTTCCCCTGGCTACCAGAGCAGTGGGAGTGGGGAGAGCGCTCTGACTACCCAGGCTCCGCATGGCCCATGATGACATGGACGTGCTCGGCTCACAATGGGGCCTCTGGTGAACACTGGTTTTCATCTGATGGGTGGAATAGGGCATCAGGCTGTTGCCTCTGGGGATTCAGGGAAGCAATATGGCCTGGGTTGGACCCATCTGGGGCAGCCAAGGGCACATCCTCCTCCCCAGCCCTGAGACCTGTGCACTTGGGGGTGAGAATCTGATGCCGCAGGCTTAGGAAGGGAGGAGGAGGGAGGTGAGTGTCAGGGAAGTCATTTCTGACCACAAAAAGCCCACCTGGAGGTAGGTAGCCATGCCTCCTCCACCGGGAACCAGCCATCATTTTGAGTTTTCTTGTCTTCTCAGCCTCCAGGCATTTGGCCTCCCAACCCGGCTCCCATGGTAAGTCAGCCTCTCTTTCTTCTGGTCCTCTTCATTTTGTTTCTTCCTGTGGGTTAAAGGGAGGAGGCATGGCCAGGCATTGATGTCTCTCATAAGAAAGTGGGCAGCTAAGGCCAGCCCCGCGGACCACCTGCCTGGCCTCTGGGTGTGGTGGAGGGACCTGGGGGTGTGGCTGGTTGGCCCCATGCAACAGGGAACCACCTGAATGGCCACTTGTCTGCAGAGGCCCCACATTCCCCTCTCTTGCTTGCAAAGTACAGCTGTGCAGACGGAAATTCCCAGAGAGGAAAGAGGGGCTGGGGCAGACGTGTCTCTTCTCTGGAGCTCTAACCTTTGGTCCCCCGCATTCCCTTGAGCTTAGAAACAACTCTATCCACCCTCTCTGAACCTTGGTTACAGCTCAAGGTTAACTCTCTTCATAGTGTGCGTGCGTGCGTGTGTGCATGTGTGTGTGTTTGTGTGTGTGTGTGTCCACTGGTGGTAGGTGGTAGCATTCACACTAGTGGGAGCTGGGAGCTGGTTGAGACTTGGTTTCTTTCTTCCAGACTCAAACTGTTATCCACACGGTGCACAGCACCCCAGGACAGATGTTCCCTGTAAGTCTAAAAGTTCCTTTTCAGCTCCTAGCCCCGTGGCTTCCCTCTTGAGCACCAACAGAATTCCCTAGAGTCCCAGCACTGGTTTAGCAAGTCCTAAAGTGGTTTATCAAGGAGGATGGGGACAGATGGGGCTGAGCCCCCCCCCCCCCGTCAGGAGATGTCCAGTTAAAACTCTCCTTGGGACAGTGGAGATTCTGGAACAATCTTCAAATAAGCAGGTCTGCTAGGGACCAGCAGAGAAATGGTTCCTTCTGCTACCAAGAGAGGGAAGGATGGTGGCCCCAAATCCTGGATGTGAGGTTCCTAGACTTGGATCCCGAGGACAAGTCCCTGCAATGTCACTACTGATCACAGTCTTGACCTTTCTCCTCCTCCTGCCATTGCAAATCAAGTGGGGGCCTGGATTGAGTGGGGCTTCTGTGGAGATGCTGAGAGAGAGGTGTCCATGATGGGTCCAGGAACACACCAGGAAGTTTCAGGAGGGCTGATGGAAGGCATGTGGCAGAATCCAAGGGCTGAGCCCTCACAACTCAGTCTCCCACTGGAGTGTACTCTAGTGTGTGTGTGTGTGTGTGTGTTTGCACATGTGTTTCCACATTGAATTTTCTGGTCTCTCTTCAACAGAGTCCTGCAATGCCACCTATGGTGTTCCCCAACCCAACCTATGTGAGTAGGTTTTCGGAGGAGGCAGGAGATTTCATTTGTGTGGAGCAGGGAGGGAGGGCAGGGCCACTGGGGATGGTCCTCTGACTTGCATAATTCAAGGCAGTCCATTGTCAAACTGATTTTAAAAGCATCCACATAAATTAGAAGACTGTCCAAAGGGGCCTTCAACTCTGAAGTGGTCTCTTCAAGTGAGCAAATTAGGACTTTCCTTTTTCCACCCCAAGAACCCTTTGGTGTTGGCCAAAGTTCCTTCTGTGACATTTTAAGCCCACTGCCTTGGGGAATGCTGGAAAGTTATCCTTTGGCTTGACTGAGCCAGGTAAAGATGTCCTAGGGCTCCTTCTGGAAGATGTCCTGCTCACAGGCACAGTTCCAGACTTGGCTGATGGGACACATCTGTGGAAGCTGGTACAGGATTCTCAGGGGCAGGTGTGGCTCTCTGGCTGCTGCTGCTGGCTGACTTGTCCCCACCCTCCCAACAGCCGATGCCTTTCTTCACCAGCATCCCAGGGGGGCTGTACCCATCCAAGTCCATCATTGTGTCGGGCACTGTCCTGCCAAGTGCTAAGAGGTAAGACAGGGCCTCCAGGGCTATCAGAATAGAGAGAGACCCCCATGGTCACTCTGGCCATCTCTCTGGCTCCCGACAAGCTGGGGATTGTGGGGAAGGGCTGGGTCCCAGAGTTCAGTGGACAGAGAGGGTCCATGTGAGTTGCCTCCCACCCCAGGTTCCATATTAACCTGCGCTCTGGGAGTGACGTCGCCTTCCACATGAACCCCCGTTTTGATGAGAATGCTGTGGTCCGCAACACCCAGATCAACAGCTCTTGGGGGTATGAGGAGCGAAGCCTGCCCCGAAAAATGCCCTTCACTCGAGGCATGAGCTTCTCGGTAAGTTGCTGTGGCCTAGAGCTCAGAGGGAGGGGCTCACAGGGGGCAAGAGGAGAAGAGGTGGAGGAGTCTGGGGGTACCTGGAACAGCATGGGGGCTGAAGCCTGAGGGATGAGGACTGCACCCCAAGGAAGAGAGAATGTTAACAGGTTATTATTATTTCCATGATCACTGCCCCCCCACACATAGCAGGTGTCAGTGTCTGCTTTTCATATATGGGCAAACAAACTCGCAGGACACAGGTCACACGGCCAATCTGTGCCAAACGGAACCCAAGAATGAGGCATGATTCATTTGCTCCCATCTTCACTCTGCAATCACTTGCTGACCACTTTATGGGGGCCACCTTGTAGGAAGTAGCCCACTTGCTGTGGATGCAGCCACAAGATGTCAGGCAGAGTCCTGCCCCCACGGAGTTCACAGTCTAGATCGGGGAGGAAGAAGGAACGGTCATGAACCGGTCACTGCAGAGAAGGGACAGGTCCTTGCAGAAAGGGAAACTGAACATGGGCTGGAGGGAGCTGGGGCGGGAATGGCGGGGAGCTGCCTGGGTCTTGCGCAGAGGCAAATGGGGTCCATCTGGAGCCTCAAGGGCAAGGGCTGGGGGATAGAGAGCCAGGGCAAGAGAGGTGCAGATTAGCAGGAGGCCTGACCACCCAGAGTGTCTCCACCTTGACTCTGCAGTGGATTCACTCAGAGAGCTTAGAAAGACAAATCAAGTCCAGGGCCCCCACCCCAGGTCAGTGAGGTGATCAGACTGGGCCTCTGTATTTTTAAGACACCCCCTAGGTGATACATCTGCAACCAGGGTTGAAAATGACTGGTGTGGGCCTTTGTGGGCCATGAAAGGGGCTTGGATTTTAATACAATGAGAAGCCATTGGAGTGTTTCAAGTCCAGGAACAATAACCTTGATTAGTAAGCTCTGAGACCTTGGGGAAGTGACACATGCTCTGTGTCTCAGTTTCCTCATCTATAACATGGAGTAATAATACTAGAGATCAGAGAACTGTAAGAATGGAATGAGACCAGATCTGTGCGTGCTGAGGGCAGTGCCCAGCACAGAGCAAGGGGGCTGTGCTTGCCATCGCCATGGGTGATGAGGTTTCGAGGTTTGTTCCCTGCCTGCCTCGTGTTGAGGCCTCTGGTTATAAAGAATGTTAGGAGGCTGCTGCAGGAGTCTAGGCCCTGAGCACTGAGGACACAGATAGCCCAAGATAGCATCTCATCCCAACTGGAGAGTGGACTGGGGAGGCAGGTGGCTCGACAGGGAGTGGGTCAGGGAAGGCTTGGATCCTGGAAGGTGATAGGCAGAGGCAAAGGTGTGCAGGGTGGGAACAGCATTCCATGCTCAGGAAGGGCATATGCTAAAGTACCAGGGAAGGAGAGTGCATGGGTATTTATTGAGGAGCAGATATTTCCGTGTAGCCAGAATGCAGGGGTGGGGCTTATGAATGGCCAAGGCAGGAGGGAGGGAAAGAAGGAGATTCAAGCCCTGCGTTTAGGGCTGCTGATTTTCCAAATGGAAGAGACAGGGCTTCTCTGTCCAGGTATGGATCATGTGTGAAGGTCACTGCCTCAAGGTGGCTGTGGACGGTCAACACCTGTTTGAATACCTCCACCGCATGAAGAACCTACCGGCCATCAATAACCTGGAAGTGGCGGGTGATGTCCAGCTGACCCATGTGCAGACATAGGTGGGCTCCCTGGCCTGAGGACAGGGCTGGGATGTGGTGCTGAGTTTCCTCATCATCTCCACTCCCCTGTCTCAGCCCCAGCCTCCCGGATGCTACCATGCAAGCAGAGGGTGTTTAGAACTGGTGAAGCTGTGTTCACCCCCCTCAGCAGACACAGAGTCTCCGGAGCCTCCCAAGCACCCAGTCCAGGCCTGTGTTGAATGTGGCACATTCCTGTCCCAGGTCAACTCCAGTCCCCAGCCAGAGCTATGCACTCCTTGCAGTGAGGAGACCTCCTCTGCCCCACCCCCTTCTCTGACCCTTTCCTTCTTTCCTTCTCACCTGGCATCCAGCTCAGACCCCCACCCCTCCAGGAAACTACCCTGATTCCATCCCCCCTGGGCTTCCACCAACTCTCTTTCCCAGGGGAAAATAAGGAAAATGAAGGAATAAAAATGGTTGCTGGCAACACGTGGGGAAGACCGTGGTTTATTAAATGTGTCTGGAGACACTTGGGAGTCTCTGGAACTGGAGGTCCCTGCCCAGGGAATGGGAGAGACAGTGTGGGCTCCCTTTGGGAAGGGGGATCCTGACATCCACACCTACTCACAGTGAGTCCCTTGCAAACCCCGGGAGAGAGCTGGGGAAAGCAGGAGGACATGGAATTCTTCTGCAGGGGTCTCTGGACCTCAGCAGCTGGGTGAACCTGGAAAACAGCTCCATGCTTCTGAGATGGAAGAAGGGCTGGGACAGAGCCTGTGGGGGCCCTGGCAGAGCCTCATCAGAACCTTGTGCCCAAGTGGGAGGAGGAGGCAGGCAGGACAAGAAGCTGATTCCAAAGCTGTCCCAGTCATGATGTGCAAGAGGGAAGTGGCTCAGTGTCTGGGGATCTGCCGGCCGCTGGGGAGCAGAAGGGAGCCCAGCTGGATGTCCAGGTGATGCCATTTTACTCTGCTCACTCCATCAGAACCCAGCCCCAGGAGCCAGGGTGGGGCTCAAAGAGTGTTCAGACCAGCGGGCGCCGACATGACCTGGGAGCTGATTAGAAATGCAGCACCTTGGCCTGGTGCAGTGGTGCATGCTTGTAATCCCAGCAGCTTAGGAGCCTGAGGCATGAGGATTTCGAGTTCAAAGCCAGCCTCAGCAACTTAGCAAGGCCCTATCTCTACATAAAATACAAAAAAAGGGATGAAGATGTGGCTCAGTAGTTAAGTGCCCTGGGTTCAATACCTGGTACCCCCCCCCCAAAAAAAAAAGCACCTCGGGCCCCACCCAGACCTACTGTGTCAGGTCTGCATGTTAACAAATCCCGGGTGACTCGAGTGTACATTAATTTGTGAGAAGCCTTTGGTCTAGGCCACTGGACTCTGGGCAACTAGACTTTGGGAAGCCCCTTTCCCCCATCCCCCACCTCCATGAGAGTAGCTGCTACCAGAAGTGGCAGGAGAGGAGGGGAGAGCAGGTGAGGGAGCCCATGAAGCAAGGGCCAAACTGAAGCTGAGAGCAGGATTTCTCTAGACCACCACTTGTCCCCAACTGAGACCTTTTTGTGGTTCTGACCAGAAGGAGATGCAGCTCTGTCGCTTAAGAAGCTCCCCTGGTCAGGAGGCTGAGGAAGGAGGAGTGCAAGTTCAAAGTCAGCCTCTGCAACTTAGTGAGACCCTGTCTCTAAAGAAAAAGAAAACAAATACCAGGTCTGGGGGTGTGGCTCAGGGGTTAAGCACCCCTGGGTTCAACCCCTACCCCAAAAGAAGCAGCTCCCTGGCTGGCTTCAAATCAAGAAAGGACCACAGTCTCCCAGGGGGGCAAGGGTAATGCATGCCCTTACCCTCCACAAAGTCTTCCACAACCAGGAAACCTCACCTGCTTTCCCCATGTGCTAAATCGCAAGTGGCCAAACAGGTGGCTACAGAACAAACCCCTTCCTAAGACAGGGCGAGGGTCCAGGCCTTTGCTAAAATCTTGGCACTATGTGCATAATTCCGCTGCTCACCACACCTTTCATCAGATGCTTTCTGAGTGAAATACAGCTCCAGCCCCTTGCCTATGCCCCCCATCCATTTGTCCCTGTGTGGGACACATCAGTCCTTCTCCATAAGACTTAGATCTGCTTTCCTTACAAAACAATCCCCCCTCCAAACACACACATACATATACAGGTTGGTTAAAATAGAATGCATTTAATATAAATATTATATTAAGGAATCACAGAGGAAAGGTCCAAGGGGCTGTTGCGAGTGGGGTTGGGGGTTGTTTTTTTTAAATACGGGGACATAAATAACTGTACATAAGGCAGCTAAATACAGAGTGTTGTGATAGCGCCTCCTGGTGGCCACTTACAGTGCTGCAACCAGAATAAGGTTTCCCCTTTTCCTCCGCCTCTTGCCAGGCCTGGCTCACCGACTGAACCTCCAAGGGGCCAGCGAGGCCCCCCCGCACTCCATTGCCCAAGGAAGGGTGGGCTCAGAGAGAGTTCTGGCTCCAACCAGCCCAGGATGCTACTTGGTAGTAGGTCAAGTAGAAGGATGGTGGAACTAAGAAGGGCTTGGAGAGATTGCTCTTTTCCAACTCCCCAGGACCTTGTCCTCAGCGTGAGGGTCGACTCCGTCATTAAATTCCATGCCAGCAGCTTTCACTGCTCCAATGGTCGTCAGAGGCCTGTGTTGGGCCGTCCCGCGGCCCTGTCCTTTTTCACCTCGCAGGGAAACACAGCACCAAAGACATCTTCATGATAGCGCTTCTGGCTCTTGAAGAGAAACAGGGGCCACGAGGTCAGCCCTGCTGGCTCAGCCTCCCTGCCCTACTCACCAAGCCCTGGCTCCTCTATGACACGCAACAGGCCAGCAGGAGCCCTTTGGTGTGGAGAGTGCACTTGGATCTGGTTTATGCCCCCAGCCCCATTAGCGCCTGCTCTGGTGTGAATCCTCTCAACATCTCCTGAAGCTCTGCAGGTGGATGGCATTCCTACTTCCTGCCTAGTGTTCGTCTCACTAGATGCCCCAGAAAGTGGCATAAGTCTGAGATAAGTCTGGGTGGGAATTACTGTGCACTTTCTCTCCCCTCCTCCACCCCAGTCTTAAACTGTCATGATACATCTGATGGTACACCAGTGTGTTTGCCTTTGTTTAACTGAGCACGTTCTAAACTATCTGACCCTGGAATTTACCAACTCTGAACACATTTTGGGAGACATTTGTGAGGTCTTGCTGTTCTTCACACACATATGCTAACGCCACCCCAGGGCCTTCGTGCATGCTGTTCCCTAAAGAGCAGCCTAGAATGCCATCTCCCTCATTACCCACAAGGCTTCTTCCTCACCTGCTTCAGGTATTTTCTCAACTGTCAACTTCCAGTGACATCTTATTTAAAACAATAGGCCCCTAACTCTCCCTCAGCAGCCTCCCTGATGCAGTATCCATTGTACATGTTCTGTTGTATCAATCCTTCTAGAATGTTCCATCCAGGCAAGGATTTGCTTGTTCTGTTTACTGCTCTATCCCTGTCACATAGTAGGTGCTCAAACATGATGAACATAAGAACGTGTCTTAGGAAGAGTATGGAAGTGGTGAGCACAGGCTTTGGGGCCAGAGACAGAGTGCTAGGCTTTCAGCCTCACTGTTGTGGACCCCGGGGGGCTCCCTCCCTCTGTAAAATGGGGGTGTAAATGTGCCTCCCTCGTGAAGCCCTTAGAAGGAAATGCCTCATGGGTGCCGTAGTCCGGCTGGGTTAAATAACTGAGAGGTGACAAGCAACTTGAAGGTTGAATCGGGAACTACTTTATTGCGAGTGAACTCAGCAGGAACTGAAGGAGAACTCAAAGTAGCAGGCACCCGAGATAGCAGGAGCCCTTCTCTGCCGGACAGCAGAGGTATATATACTTAACTAATTACACACAGCTTAACTCAATTATCATAAACTAGATACAGCAGTCAACCAATAAGGAATCCTCATCATCTTAATGGCTCTCTGGCGTTGCTTCACAGACCACTCCTCCTGGCAAAGTGCCAGGCACCATCTGGACTTGATTACAGACCTCAACACATGGGAATCCTCCATAAGCACCTGGCCCCAGGTGGGCCCCTGATGAACACTGTGGCTGTTACCATCATGAAGCGAGTGTCCTTCCCACTGGGGGCTGAGGACAAGCAGACAGCATCCTGGGTGTAAATAACAGGTGCTTCCTGCATAGGAGGCTGCCAAAGGGGACAAGTTTCCTACCCAGTGTTTGTTACTCTGCTTTGGCTACACAGCTGCTCTCTGAAAGGGGCCTGGAGAGAGGCCAGAGAGGTCCTCCTGCTCCCATTCCAAACATGGAAAGACAGAACATGTGGATCTGCCTTCTTAAAGCTGACAGGCAACCACACCAGAGGGTAGAGTTAGGCTTTCCAATAGCCCATCTGGATTGCTCTAAGGTTCCTTCGGGGCCCAGGAGTGTCCTGGGATTTTCCTGATCCTGTCGCCCTGGTCCTAGCTCCTGCAGCCTGGACCTTTGACTATACCCCCGAACCCACACATCAACTCCCCGTACCTTGAGCTGGAAGAAAAAATCCTCAACCTGCTCTTCACTCAAGCTCAGCTTGGCGGCCACCAGCTGCTTCAGGGTGTGGGCCACATCTTGGGCCATACGCACATCCCCACAGACATAGAGGTGGCCCGGGGACTCATGCAACACGCGGAGGACCTCGCCAGCCAGCTGCTGCCGCAGAATGTCTTGAACATAGACCTGAAATCAGAGGATACGGTGGGTCTAGTCCCTAGCCCCTGGGAGAGAGGCTGGAGGTCAAGCCTGCTGTCCTCCGTTAGGGGAGATAGGGATGTCAGGGGAGTAAGCACCCTCCCAGGCAGGACCGTGGCTCAGTATGAGAAGGTACACTGACACCTAGCCCAGGCCAGGGGGCCGCCCGGATTTTCTCCAAATTCATCACACCTCAAAGAGGCATCAATCAAGTCAACCCCCTGCTCAGGGCTCTGAGGCCTGCCTGCCTACACCCTAGAAAGGGCAGCCTCCCAATGCCCAGGTTCATTGATTCAAAGCTGGGGTGCAGGTTTCCAGGCTTCCCAGTCACACAGAGGGTTCAGAGACAATCGGGATTCTGTTGTTCCACACCAGATGTCCAGTGGGCCCAGAAAGGGGCTCAAGAGGAGTCTTCAGGAACAAGTTCATAACTGCTGAGCCAAAAGTTTGTCCAAACTCCCCAGGCTCCTGGGGCCCAGTGCAGTAGCTGCTGTCTAACCTTGTCAGCTGGAGTATAAACCAGCCGGACCACCTCTCCCTGGGCAGCCATGTGTCCCAGGGGGCTGCTGGGGGTCTTCAGCAGGCTGGGCTCTGGGGATTAACCCATAGTGTCACCCTGAGTTGATCCTAAACCTCTCTGGGCTTGTCTCTTCTCCTGGACTACAGGGCACAGTGCTCTCCACCGTGTCACCCTGATGGGTGTGTATGTCTCCACTTTCCAGCTGAGGAGATGG